GGATTGGAAGTGTTGGATTCAAGAAATGAAAAAAAGGAAGACATTCAAGGGTGCTTCCTCAGTTTATGGCTTGGACACTTGAGTGGAGGATAGTGCTGTTTGCTAAGATGGAAAAGACTGGTTTTGGGAGCAGACATTGAGTTCAGTTACGTGCTTACTGAGTTAGAAAAGCCTGACACCTACCTGGGGAACTGGTGACTGTGTGTGTTAAGTCAGAAGGTCAGAGGAGAGGTCTGGATTGGAGAAACACATTTGGGAGTCACCAGTATATAGAAAAATTTAAAACCATTTAGAGACCAAGTAGGGAAGGCCAAAGGAAGGGAAACAGTTGTAGCTCGTCATACCATGACATAAGTTACCAGGTGCTCTGAGGGTTCCTAGCCATAATGTCTTCAACTTTAAGGCTTTCTTAGGTCCTCCCAATTTTGGCCTCAGATAACAGTCTCCTCACACCCCCCCCCCCCCACTTCTTTACTGGCACCTTAAAAAGGGCAATTTGTGATTATGGATCCTTTCTTTATATTTTATTTATTTATTTATTTATTTAAAAAAGATTTTATTTATTTATTTGACACACAGAGATCACAAGTAGGCAGAGAGGCAGGCAGAGAGAGAGGAGGAAGCAGGCTCCCTGCTTAGCAGAGAGCCCGATGCGGGGCTTGATCCCAGGGCCCTGGGATCATGATCTGAGCCGAAGGCAGAGGCTTTAACCCACTGAGCCACCTAGGCGCCCCGATTTTATTTTACTTATTTTTTTAAGATTTTATTTATTTGAGAGAGAGAGAGAGAGAGTGAGACAGCACAGAGGGAGAGTGAGAGGGAGAAGCAGACACCCCGCTGAGCAGGGAGCTTGACGCAAGGCTCGATTCCAGGACCTGGAGATCAGGACCTGAGCTGAAGGCAGACACTTAACTGACTGAGCCACTCAGGTGCCCCTCATCCTTCATTTACATTTTAATATAAAATGTTCTGTCCCTCATATTTGAATTCTCTATGAAACTTACTTTATGGGGTAGAGGTTGGGAAACCCGGTAACAGGGATTGGAATGGGATAGAGATACACATCTGGCACATACAAAGGGATTCCTGGAGAACGGAGCATCTGGAGGGGTAGAAGAGGTTTTGTTGGGAGAAAATAGGTAGTTTCTTAGGCATCCTTCCATTTCACAGTATGGTTAGTGCCAGATTATGCCACTAAAATCATGCATTCATCATGCTACAACAGGCATACTGATTGTCATGTTTGGGTGAGGCCCTCAGTGCTGAGCTTTCTAAGGGATATCACGTGAAAATGCTGTGCTGTACGGGTGTGTCCCAAGGATGAGGCAGCTCAGAGGAAGGCCAGTGCTGAATATGCTGGAAGATCCTTTGGTTTCTGAAAGGAGACCCTCACTTTCCATGTCACAGCTGTGTCTTTTTATTCATGGTCTAACCATAGACCTACTTACTGTCTGCGTGCCCTGCTGTTGACCTTGTTTATTGCTAAGCACTGCTACTTGGTCACCCATTTGCTCCTTTTGTCTCCATATTCTAGTCCTGGGAAGACTTCTCCCTTCCTCTCTTAGTGCTACTGGATACTGAATAGTTACTCAGTAACTGCGTACTCCGCCTTAGTGTCACTTCTGCTTCCTTCCCCCTCCCCTGCAGTCTGACTGAATTGTAACATCGGTAAAGATTTTTTTCCTACTGTATTTCTTTAAGTGGTTGATGAACAATTTACTTTGTATATTTTATCTTTATTGAACTAGCCTCCTGTGGTTCCTTGTTCAGTCATTTATTCCGCAGATAGCTATTGAGCACCTACTCCATGTCAGGCATTGTTATAAGCACTAAGCATATACTTCTGATCAAAAGCAGGTAAGAATCCCTGCCCTCTTGGGGCTTCTGCTCTATCGTGTTCCCTATATTCCACCAACACTACCTTACATGCCGCTTTATCTTTGCAGCAGTGATAATGACCTGGTTTTTCACAATGCTCTACTTAGGACAAGTTCAAGTGATCGGCTCACGGCAATGGGTACCAATGGGTATCCATTAGCTGGTATCCCTGACTAGGGAAATTGCACTGCTGTGTCCGTTTTAGTTTTGTTTTAACTTTTTATCTTGGAAATAAGAGTTATCAGCCTGGTTTTGAAATTTAGCAGCCATTTATTAATACTGGTAATTGTATAATTTGGCAGCGGTGTTTAATAATTTCTTACTGTTCTTAGTTAGACTTACTACAGATGATACATACTTTATCATGACAGAATGTAGGCATATCTTATCAATGGTCTTTAATATAACCTGTAGGAGAATAAGTAATTCTAATGTGAACAAATATTTAAAGTGATCTCACCTGTGAATAATTTGTGATTTTTTTTTTTTTCCCCCCCTGACCCATTCATAGACCACACTGCAACTTTAATAATAATTGAAAGATAGCTATTGCTGTGGGGTGCTTAGGTGGCTCAGTTTGTTAAGGGACTGCCTTCAGCTCAGGTCATGATCTGGAGTCCAGGGATCAAGTCCCGCATCTGGCATCTGTCCTGCATTGGGCTCCTTGCGCCGCGGGGAGTTTGCTTCTCCCTCTGACCCTCCCCAATGCTGCTTGTGCTCTCTTTCTTTCTCATTCTCTCTCTCTCTTTCTCAAATGAATTAAAAAAAAAAAAAAGAAAGCTGTTGCTCTACTAAAAATTATTTAAAAATTTTTTGAAGATTTTATTTATTTGACAGAGAGAGAGAGAGCACAAGTAGGCAGAGAGGCAGGCAGAGAGAGAGGGGGAAGCAAGCTCCCTGCTGAGCAGAGATCCCAATGCAGGGCTCTGTCCCAGGACCCTGAGATCATGCAGGGCTCGATCCCAGGACCCTGAGATCATGACTTGAGCTAAAGGCAGAGGCTTAACCCACTGAGCCACCCAGGCGCCCCAATTATTTAAATCTTTTAAAAGCATCTAGTAGCATAGAAGTTAATCCAAACCCCTAAAATTTTGAATCTGTTGAAAAAAAAGTATTCAGGAGTGGAAATTTTTGTGCTTACATGGAAATAAAACCTTTAAATACCCTTACTTATAAATTATTTTCCTACAAGATGAATAGATTCCTTGTGGGTAATTAAGCAGTACTTTCCAGATTTACTTGATATGATTTTTATTAATAAAGTCTTTGCTTTTTTTGTACTTCAAACTCATTGAACAGCAATGGAATAAGATGTCTTGGAGGCATTCCAGATTAATTCAGATGGTCAGCACACTTGGAATAAATTCCACTTTAGATGTTTAGGCATTTTTCTCCTTCTTAGGTTCTTAGCTATGAACATCATAATAGACAAAAGTCTTGCTTTAGGAAACGTATGAAATAGGAGGAAATATGGGAATGTCACGGTGGTGGGAAAAAAGAATTTACCCTAAACCATTGTCATCTGATGCTGGGCATCAGTAAGTACTTTTCAAGAGGCTTTATACAATAAAGAAGGATTTAAGGCAAGTATCTATTAATACAGCCTTAGCTTGAAGAAAAATAAATTATGAAGTCATCATGGATGTGTGGTGTGATTGCGTCCCCTTTGGCATTCATGGCATAACAATACTTCTTGAATGAATTCCTATTATCCCCACCAAAAATAAGAGTAGAAAAGGCCTTTATTTTTGGCAGAGAGGGCAGCAGGACAGATCTGAGTGGGTACTGCTAAGACCTGAACCCCGGGCATTCAGCAGTGTGAAAAGGGTCAGAGCATGTAAATAGTTAGAAGGTGGAGTGACAGTGGATGATGGATGAGGATGGTTTCATAGGTCAGAGCCTGCTGTGGATCCAGGCTCGGCTTGGGATGAGGATGGGTCTCCAGGAAGAAGGTGAGTGGCCAGTGTGTCTCACAGCCAAAATGTTGATGGCAGCAGCCACTGCTGTGACCCATACTGTGAATCAGGCTGTGGCTTTTGGGATGACACCAGGCTACCGAGGAAAACAGAGGTTAGATGGGACAGTAGTCAAGGGTAATTAGGTGTTCAAGGGATTTGCTCCCAGCATGGCTGTGGGTTAAAGTGAACACTAGTGCACAGATCAGGCACTAAAGTGAAGATGGCCTTTGTTGAGGCAGAAGCTTTCCTCTGCCCTTAAGAGTGTTTTTGGAGAGGAGCTGATCTCAAGTTCTGGGATATGTGTGGGCTCTGGACAGCACCAAGACCGAAAACTCTAAAGTAATGTTGTTTCTGAATTCTAACACTTGGAAGTTTATTAAATAAATTTTTATACAATTCAGGATAATACCAATGTCAAGATGAAGGACATGGGTGAAGTCCAGAGTCTAATAGTAAATAGCTCCTACTTATTTAGCATGCACTGTGTCAGGTCCTGTTCTGAGCGTTTTCCATGTATTATTTCATTTCACCCTCCTATCAATCGAATAAGGGAGCCAGAAGTTGGCTTTCAGAGATTCTGCTGGACAGCAAGACAGTGGAAGGACCGAGACTGGTGTGTCGATGCCTGGGATTGTAGTATTCTCCAAACACCAGCAAGTTCTGAGTGCTAACATTTATCATTAGCCTTCCTCCCTCATTGTTCTATGGTCCATGACCATTTGCTGTTCCCGGCATATTTAACGTGTGCCTCTGGTCATTGCGCATTTTATATCAGGATAGCCTTCACCCCTGCCCCATGTCTTTCCAGACCACTTTCACTCTGGCTGGTTCCCTTTTCCAACTTCCCATCACTTTTATTTATTGTCTATACACATTTGGGGACTTGATGAAATTCCTTTTTCCTTTTTTAGACTTTTTTTTTCGTTGTTTAGTAAGTGTAAATTTTGCTTCATCATCAAGTGCAGAACTCTATATTGCTTTTGTATTTTTTGCAAAACCAGCCTCATTGTGACTCATCCAGTAAATTCACATAGGATATTCTATACTTCTGTTCTTTGATTTTAATCATGTTGTTACCAACTGTTAAGAAACTGGCTATTTTTTATACATCTTACAATGTAGGAAATGTTACTTAAATTTTTTTCCTTTTTTAAATTTTTACAGGGCAAACTCAGAAAATGAATCTTTTCCAGGCAGTAACAAGTGCCTTGGATAACTCATTGGCTAAAGATCCTACTGCAGGTAAACTTCCTTTGTGTGTGAGTGTGGTACCTGTGTTAATTCAGATTGAAAATTTGCTGGAAATACCGTATCTGAAGCTCAGTGGTTAACATAGGTCTGCCTGAAATTTTTTAAATGATCTGGTCAAATGATTAAGGTCAAATAATCAGATTATGGTATTAACACATTTTTAAAAATCAGTTCATTATGAATTAGTTCTCATGTATATCTGACATCATCAACTCAACTTTCACCCATAGTATTTGTGGTCCTGATATTATATTAATATTTTCTGGATTGCTACCTAATACGTACTTCTGTTTCTCCAGCATATAGGAAAAAAACAGGAAGTACCACTTGATTCAGATTTATGAATCTGTTTATGAAATGAAGATTTGGTTCCACGCTTTCCTTTGAGATAGCCATCCCACTTACAAGATTTTTTTGAAATAACTTCAGTATTTGTAAATAACTTTATCTTATCAAATTTAATTATTGGTATAAAAACAGTTGTTTTGCTATATGTTTCCTCAATTTGGTTGGCTTTACTTCATATATATATATATATATAGTGTGTGTGTATGTGTGCGCACACACTAGTATGTATGAATATATATACTTTTATAATATATAGTGTGTGTGTATATGTGCGTGCGCTAGTATGTATGAATATATATACTTTTATATATTAGTATGTAATATATACTATAACCTATGCATATTTATATATTGGTATATATAAATACATATATTTAGTATGCCTTGGGCTTCCACTTGAGAAGTTTTAAGGTCCCTAGTTTTAAGGTCAAGTGAAGAAGGGGTTAATTTGTTAGGAGGAAGTGAGAGCTATACTATTGGATGATGAGATCTTGCTTTGTTTGAATGTCATCTGAGAATGATTGATCTTGAAGAGTAAAGAAGGGTGAATTTCCTAAGGTCCACAAAGCTGGTTAGGTGTTAATAAATTCAGCTATGTGAACACCCATTTTTATTGTTGTTGGCCTTGCTCACTATCTGCCGCCATACTTGTCTCCTTTCACACCATTTAGGTCCTTTTCTTACTTGTGACTGTTCTCTCAGCTTGGAATGCGTTTCCTTCAGCCCTTCAGATTGTTGCCTTTCATTGTAGACCATGTTTGAAAGAGAACCACTGGCAGGGGACTTGAGCCTGGAGTGTGAGTCAGTTCTGCCGCTTGCTGTCCTACTGGTTAAGTTACTTTACTACTGCTCTGGGCTTTGTTTTCTTCCTGGGTGAAACAAGATGACATTTTAGATAAGTGCTTCTTCATCAATTGGGGCGATCTTAATCCCCCGTCTTCCTCTTACGTTTAACAAAGTCTGGAGACACTTTTGGCTGTCATGACTCTGTGTGTGTGTGTGTGTGTGGGTGTGTAGTGGGTGACAACTGTCATCCACTGGGTAGAGGCCAGGGTTGCTGCTCAGAGATGTCTACAATGCACAGAACAGGCTGCTACAGTGAAAGAATTATTCAGTCCAAACTGTCAGTAATGTTGAAGTTGAGAAACCTTGATTTAAGCTTCTAATCCATTTCTGTTTTCTGATTTAAGGTGTAAACATTTAAATTACCTATTTTTCATTGTCAGTATCACTTAAGGGTTATTAAATAAAACATGTTTTGTAAACATTGTTTTTCAGTAATATTTGGTGAAGATGTTGCTTTTGGTGGAGTCTTTAGATGTACTGTCGGCTTACGAGACAAATATGGTAAGTCACTGTCTTTTTATGTGCATAGTATTCTTGGGTAATTTTTCCTTAAATATTTGAAGATACAAAAATTTGAAGATACAAAAGATGCCTGTTCCACTGTTTGCCGGATCCTTATTGTACGCATAGTTGTTGGTTTTTGTTTTTATTTTTGTTGGTTTGTTTTCCATTTCCGTAGCCATCTACAGAATCCCTTGGCTTGGGTTTCTCCGAATGTGTTCTAATTGCAGTATCTCTCTGATCTGGTTCAGATCACACATATTATAGATGCCAAAATCATTTTCATTAAATGTATTAGTTTATTATGTCATTCAAATCTAGGAGGCTTTGATCTCTTACTACTGCCAACAATTTTGCTTCCAGTGTCTCTAGTTCAAGATTCTGCCCTACCGGTCTTTGTTAATAGAGTTCATCTTTTATTTCCCGTATTTGGGCTCCCCAGAGATTAGAAGCATTGGGATGTGTTGTATCTATGTATGTGTGTGTACATGTGTGTGTATTATATATGTATCTATTTCTGTTTGTCTTTATATGTATCTCTCTATTTCTACACCTGTATCTAATGCCTACACCTATATCTATATTGAGAAAGAGAGAGAGAGATTTACTTTTTAAGGAATTGGCTCACATAATAAGGGGGCTGGCAAGTCTGAAATCTGTAGGGCAAGCCAGCAAGCAAGCTGGAAGCCCAGGCAGGGTTTCTCTGTTGCAGTTTTCAGGCCGAATTTCTTCTCGTTGGGGAAGCCTGTCTTTTTTCCTAAGGCCTTCAAATGATTGGGTGAAGATCATCTGTATTGTGAAGGGCTATCTGCTTTACTGACAATCTAGTGATTTAAATGTTAATCACATCTGAAGAACACATTCACAGCAATATCAACACTGGTCTTTGACCAAGTAACTGGGCACCATCATCTAGCCAAGTTGACACATGTGATTTACCATCCCCCACTCAAAAAAATTTTTACCATCCCATTATCCTTCCACATGTTTCACCTCAGCTGATTTCTGTCTTTTGCTTGGCATGGGATTGATTTCTGCCAGTTGCTTTTACTCATTTCATTTGACTCAGACTTCAAACAGAGTGCACTTTGGCGGATCCCAGCATCCTCCCTCCTGACTTGCTGTGTGAGGAATATATTTCAACTCCTTACTGTTAGGGATGACTTTGAGGTGATTTGACTTTTTGTTTCTTCCCTCAGTCTTACCTCAAATGGAAGTCAGCAAAGTGGTTAAGTTCAGGGGGAGGAGTTGACGTCTCCCTTTCTTTTTACCTTTGCCACTGCTCTCTAAAGCTCATGCGTGCAGTCAGCAGTTCTAATTTTTTCCCCTAACTGTTGTTCCTTCTTTTCCCACTGTTCTCTGAGGTTCTGTTATACTTGAATCCAAGACATCATGGCATGTTCCACCTTGCTTACTGAGAAGGTCTCTTCTCTTTATAGCAGGTGGATTTTCTGAGAGCTGTCCCTCTGCTTTCTCCTATTTCTAACAGCTTTTCAGAGATTGAGGTACCTCAATCTCAACTATCTCACACTGTCTCAGTTCCAGCTAATTTGGATGCCTACAAACTTTATCTCTTTAAAAAAAAAATTAAAAGCCTTTACACCTTTTATTTCAAAAGCAATGCATATGCATTAAAGAAAATTTGGAAAATATAGAAAAGCAGAAAGGAGAAACATAAAATTGTCCATATTTCCGGAGATAACCAGAGAAAACCATGGTACCCCTCTTGGTGTACATGCTTCTAGACCATATTTGAATATATGAGTATGTTCGCATATATTAAGTAATGTTTAAAACATAGAATTAGGGGTGCCTGGGTAGTCGTTAAGCGTCTGCCTTCGGCTCAGGTCATGATCTCAGGGTCCTGGGATCAAGCCCCACATTGGGCTGCCTGCTCAGCGGGAAGCCTGCTTCTCCCTCTTCCACTCCCGCTGCTTGTGTTCCCTCTCTCGATGCCTCTCTCTCTGTCAAATAAATAAATAAAATCTTAAAAAACAAACAAAATAGAATTATACTTTTGTTTTCTTCTTAGGGTTTTCAGCTCTGCTTATGTTGCCCACCTGTTCTTGCATGTTGTCTGCTTTATTGCCATTGGCGCCCTTTGCATATTCATCATAGTTGTTTTAAATCCCTGGTTTGGTAATTGCAGTATCTGCCCTGTCTGGTTCTGATGCTTGCTCTGGCTCTTCAAATTGTGATTTTACCTTTTAGTATGCCCTGTAATTTTCTCTCACTAGCTGGACATGATGCACTGGGTGAAAGGAACTGCTGTAAATAGGCCTTCAGGGATGTGGTGGTGAGGTGTATGGGGAAGGGACGTATTCTGTAACCCCATCATTAGGTCTTGGTCCTTTATTGAGCCTCTGCCTCTGGACTGTGAACTTCACAGGCGTGTTTTCCTCTCTCTCAGGTGGGACAGGAGGCCTGGAGCTGACTGGAGTTGGGCATATTCCTTCCCCCAGGTCAATTACAGTCTGACAATAAATACCCAGCAGATTAGGCTCTGGTTAACTGGTTTCCCTTGATGTCAGGCCTTTTTAAGAAGGGAATGCTCTGGCATATTTCAAAATGGTTCCTTGTGCACTTCCCCAGCTGGAAGCAAGAGGGCATTTTTCTCATGTGTTTATCGTAGGAACCTGGTGGAGCACCTGGAGGTAAGCCTCACAAAATTGGGGAGGCCTCCTTAGGTTGGACTGGATTCCCTGGAGGCTTGTCCACACAGAGCCTCCAGCCATTCCTCAATCACAGTTCAAGTTTTCCTACTCTGGCCCTGGCTCTGGCAGTCATTTTTACTCCTCAGCCTCTGCTCTGCTAAGTCAAGATTGTCTGTCTTCCTCCATCTGTCTGTCTCTTCAGCCTCCAGGAGGACAGCGGTTTGCTGTGTGTCCTCTCCTCTCTCTTGGGTCCAGGAAGAGTTGTTGACTTTTCAGTCTGTTCAGCTTTTGACTTGGACAGAGTGGCTACTTCCAAGCGCCTCACACGTGGAAGTGGAAAGCAGAGGTCGAACTTAGTCTTGTCTGCATCTGGTGTAGCTGTGTGGCTGAGCAGTTTCTAGCCTTCACTCTTCTGTCCTGCTGGCCCCCGTGTGGTAGTGAGCTGAGTGCTTGTTGAGGTCGGCGAGGCTTCTGTTGCCTGCCCAGGTTCTCTTCCTCCCCTCTTGCTGCCCAGATTCTCCCCAGTGGTGCTCTTGTGATCGCACCCGCTCTGCCTGGGGCATTTCATCCCCGTCCCCTGCTGCTTACACTCCAGTGACTTGCGAATTGCCAAATCCAGTGTAGACGACCGACTTGAGCTTCACATCTGTGTCTTCGTGTTACCACGGCTCATCGTCACCTCGGTGTTCCCGTCACTTCACACGCACGGTTTCCAAACCAATTTTCAAATTCCGTGGAGTGCATTATCTCCACCCAGAAAACCCACAGGGCCGACTGTGAATATGCCACTAGTGATGGTGAATATGCCACTACCCAGTTGGTTACCTGAGCCAGAAACTAGGGGGATCCGAGTCTCGTCCTCTTTTCTTGTTCTTCAGCCCCGGTCAAGTCCTACAATTTCATCTTCTCAGTTTCTTTCTAAAGTGGCCTCTCTGCCTGCAGACCCTTATCTTCTTTGCTTGGACAGTTTCATGGCTCTTCTCAGCAATGCCCCTGCCTCCTGTCCCCACCTGCCACCAGTGTGATCTTTCTAAAAGGCACATTGCTTGGCAGGATATAGAAAAGACTCTGAGAGCTGCCCTCTCCCTACCTACCTGACCTCATTCAGTTTATACTTTACCCATGTTGAACTGGTAGATGTTTTCCCTAAGCCTCTGCTTTTGCCCCCCATTCTCTCGTCCTTTGCACACACCATTTAGCGCTCTCTCTCTCATCAGATTTCCTGGTAAGCTCCACTTTTGCCTTCAGAAGCTTCCTCTATAAAGCTCTTCCTGACCCCCCAAGCAGACCCAGGCAGTAGTTTTCACTGCTCAGATTTTATACCTTTTACATAGTGCAGGCTGCATTGTAATTGTCTCCCCACCAGATCTCTGCACCAGACAGCTTCTGGAAGGCAATAGATGTTTAAGTCATCTGTGCACCCTGGGCTCCTAATACAGTGTCTGGCAATACTTATGAAGTGGATGTTGTTGAGTGAACTTACCCTTCACTCTCTCACCAAGACAATGGCCTACTGCCTCAGAAAGGGGATTTCCTTATTTCCCTTTCATGATGTTTTGTTGGTCTGAGTTTTTTAAAGACTTTATTTATTTATCTGACGGTGGAGAGAGAGAGAGAAGAGAGTACAAGCAGAGGGAGTGGCAGGCAGAGGGAGAAGCAGACTCCCCACTGAACAGGGAGCCCAACGTGGGGCTCGATTCCAGGACCCTGGGATCATGACCCAAGCCAAAGGAGGACAGTAACTGAGATAGCCTGGTGCCCCTGATTTTTTTTCTTAAAACAACAAGAAACTCTCACTTGAAAAAGTCCTCTGCCCTTTAGAAAAAGGAGACACCTGCAGATTTAGATCTCTATGACAGGGGGCTGAGCTAATTAAAGGCTAACTTTTAGCTTTATTGTCAGCTGCTGTGATTTTTTTTTTTTTTTTTTTACAAGTGCTTTAGGACTACAAAGTTTTGAATAACTCCAGGTTGATCAATATGAACAGTTAAATCAATTCTAATGAGACGGAGTGAGCTTCAGTCTTCAGGACTGAGGAATAAAGGAAGTGGTGAAGAGACATCTATTCAAATAGAACTTTTTCCATATTTAAACAAATTGCATGTGTCTTAAAAATAGTTCTCTGCCCTTTTGAGTGCAGGCCAGGGATGTTTAGCTGTACAGAAACCTATCCGTTTTGTATTTTTTTTGAAGTTAAAAGCACTTGTATTTGAAAGATTATATTGATCTAGTTGAATACATGGCATGAAATGACATAGCAGAGAGCATCCTGCAAGGAATTGATTGGCTTTCTGTGGAAGAGCCTAGTGTTGAGAGAGACTGGGGCACAGTCAATAGGTGGCAGCC